TCCCCAGGCCAGGCTTGTGGTGCGGCTATTTCAGGCTGGGGGTATTAAGGCTGAACCATGACGAATGGGAGCCATCACATACACACACACACACACACACACACACACACACACACACACACCAGACACTCCTTTCCTCTCTCCATTCCCATACTGGCTTCCATGCTGATCCCAAGGTCTGCCTGCACTGAAAAGTCTTGCCAGTCCTGGGTCTCTCCTTCCTGGGAAGGCCCATGATAGCCCCCACCCTAGCTCCAGGGATAGTGACAGGAGCTCGACCTGGGAATGTGGATGGGGACAGCACATGGCATGTCCTACTCACCTTCCCTGTCTCCACATACCTCAGAATTTGCGCTGACCCCGCACCCATCTTGCCTGCCCCTTCATCTCATTGTTGTTGCCATTGCTCCATCCATTTCTTCTGCCTCTTTCTTTAGTGGCACTTCTTCTGCCTTTCTTAAGCTGCACTTCCCTTTTCCTAAATCTGTGTCTTTTCCTTTTGTTGTCCTTTCCTCCAATTTTTCAGTCTTTCTTTACCTCCCTCTTGAATGGGACTCTTGATACTTGTCGATCTTTCCTATTCCCTTTCTTCCTATCTCTCCATGCCTCCTCTAGCTTTCTCTTGCCGCTCTTGAGCTCTCTCCGTCTTGCACATTGTATCACCTCTTTCCACAGATATTTACTGGCTTGTGGTAGCCACCTTGGGTGTGGGTTATAATGTGTAAAATACTGTCTCTACTCAAAACATGCTTTTTATCTAAAAGAGGAAAAGGAGTCTTACAGAAGTGACTATAAAATAAAGTCACATGTGATGTCTCCAAACAAGTGGCCCACAGTGCTCCAGCAGTTGGTTGAGAGAAAGAAAAGTCCATTCTGGGAGGGGCATCAGGGAGGCCTCAGTGGGGAGAGCAGCCCTTTTCTATCCCTGGGGAGGAGGCTGGGTTTGGTCCTGCAGAGACGTGGAGGTGTCACTAACAGACAGCATGGAGGAGTGGAGACCTAGGAGGGTCCTGAAGGTCGGATAGAAGGATGTGAAAACTCTGGGACAGTCAGTGTTTGAGCAGCAGGAGGACATGAACAGAGCTTTAGGAAGATAATCCAGAAACAGAAGCTTAAGAGGTGTGAGTCGGTGTGCGTCATATGTGCATGAGTGTGCACATGCATGTATGTGTGTGTGTGTGTGTATGTTTGTAGGAGGGCTGAGGGGCATCCAGGAGAGACAGGAGAGTAGCTGAGGAATCTATGGCCGCAGCCTGCGTGTGATTTTCTTATCTACCCATTAAAGTCTGCACTAAGTAGGAGGTGGCAGTCAGAGGAAATGAAGGGTCAAGTTTGAGAAATACCAAACAAGAACACCTTGCAAAGTGTCTTGTCCTCTCTTTCTTGGTGTCCTTGTTTCTGCCCGACTGCCTGAGTTCCTATTTCTAAGCAGATCAGAGGCCTTTCTGCAGTGGCTACCCCAGGGCCAGCCTCACTGTCAGGCAGAGATCTGATATTTACATGATAGGAATCAAAGTTCTTTCCTCTTTCCTCAAAGCTCAGAGGCACTGAAGCCGGGGGTCCCCTGGAAACTGACTTTAGCAGGTAACATCTGCGAGACCCTGCCCACTCAGAGCCACCCCGTGCCTCCAGTGACCCTGCCTGTGGCCGGCTTGCTCATCAGCACAGGGCCCCGTGCTGTGGCTGCTCCTCCCTCTGACCCTCCTTTCTCCCCCCGCTGCCCTGGAACACCCCCAACACCAGAGCTCAGGGTAGCGTTGGAGAACCCAGGAGGGGGGAATCCAGCGCCTCTCCAAGGACCTGATTATTTCCAAAGACTTGTGCTAATTTTCTGATATGATCCCCACATCTCTGTGAGGCACTAAATCCTCATTACTTTTCCTGACCGATGCATTCTAATTAGATCAACACTTAAAAAAAAATTCACAATAGCCACAGGATGGCTTTCCATCTCATTAACTCCCCACTTATTATTTTCATGAAAATTACTGATAAAAATGTGCATCTCCATTTGGTGAGGCCTCACAGCCTCCTCAGCTCCTATCTTGCATCTCTCCCATCACCGGGGCTGTGCTGCGTCGCCATGGTAACCCACAATAATAGAAACTAATAAATTACAAACGGGATGCTCGTTGAGCAATTATTGTCCTCTTTTATGCAAGTTTCTTGCTAATTTTGATCATAAGGGAAAGTACAATAAGACTCTAAAGGAATGAGTCTATTTCAAGAGAGTATTAGCAAGCAGAAGCCTGGGCAGCTGTTTTTATATCTGTAATAAAGTGATTTGGTGATTTCAAGCAACGGGAAGAGGAAATAAACTTCCGGCCTCATGTCCCAGGCGGTACTCACTACTGAGTCCCACAGAGATCCCACTGGGGTGGGTTTGATGTGATACTTGTCAAAATGTGCAAGGCGTGGCTGGCCTTCTAGAGGCCACCTGACCCTCCCCCTGCCTCTGACAACCCGGAGAGATGGATTAAGCGTGTTGGTCCTTACAACTGAGAGACAAAGAGGCACTGCATTCCTTAAGCAATCTTTCCAGAACCTCTTCCCAGTCATTCTTAGAAAGTTTAACCATATCTCCATGCCTGATTATCTCATGAGAAGAGGCCACTGCAAACCTCCCAGGGGACCCTCCATGTATCTGTCCTGGACTCAGGAACTCAATGGGAGAGGAAGAAAGTGGTGAGACTGTGGCTTATGCGGATGCCAGTGAGTTTGACGGAAAGGAATCACCAGGCAGCTTTGTAGGTTTCAGAAAAATATTCTGCCCTGAAGAGAAGACCACATTCCCACCCAAAGTCCATAGCCACCATTTCCACATTTCCCAGTTCCCAGGACAAAGGTGGCAGGTGAAGCTTGATAGAGGGGGTGACTTGAGATGACATCTCAGGGGGACAGATACGCCAGGGCAGGGTGAGCAATTCAAGAGCCATCAGGGAGGAGAGGAGCAGTATCATGGGGAATCTTTCTTGGTGTCCTTGTTTCTGCCCGACTGCCTGAGTTCCTATTTCTAAGCAGATCAGAGGCCTTTCTGCAGTGGCTACCCCAGGGCCAGCCTCACTGTCAGGCAGAGATCTGATATTTACATGATAGGAATCAAAGTTCTTTCCTCTTTCCTCAAAGCTCAGAGGCACTGAAGCCGGGGGTCCCCTGGAAACTGACTTTAGCAGGTAACATCTGCGAGACCCTGCCCACTCAGAGCCACCCCGTGCCTCCAGTGACCCTGCCTGTGGCCGGCTTGCTCATCAGCACAGGGCCCCGTGCTGTGGCTGCTCCTCCCTCTGACCCTCCTTTCTCCCCCCGCTGCCCTGGAACACCCCCAACACCAGAGCTCAGGGTAGCGTTGGAGAACCCAGGAGGGGGGAATCCAGCGCCTCTCCAAGGACCTGATTATTTCCAAAGACTTGTGCTAATTTTCTGATATGATCCCCACATCTCTGTGAGGCACTAAATCCTCATTACTTTTCCTGACCGATGCATTCTAATTAGATCAACACTTAAAAAAAAATTCACAATAGCCACAGGATGGCTTTCCATCTCATTAACTCCCCACTTATTATTTTCATGAAAATTACTGATAAAAATGTGCATCTCCATTTGGTGAGGCCTCACAGCCTCCTCAGCTCCTATCTTGCATCTCTCCCATCACCGGGGCTGTGCTGCGTCGCCATGGTAACCCACAATAATAGAAACTAATAAATTACAAACGGGATGCTCGTTGAGCAATTATTGTCCTCTTTTATGCAAGTTTCTTGCTAATTTTGATCATAAGGGAAAGTACAATAAGACTCTAAAGGAATGAGTCTATTTCAAGAGAGTATTAGCAAGCAGAAGCCTGGGCAGCTGTTTTTATATCTGTAATAAAGTGATTTGGTGATTTCAAGCAACGGGAAGAGGAAATAAACTTCCGGCCTCATGTCCCAGGCGGTACTCACTACTGAGTCCCACAGAGATCCCACTGGGGTGGGTTTGATGTGATACTTGTCAAAATGTGCAAGGCGTGGCTGGCCTTCTAGAGGCCACCTGACCCTCCCCCTGCCTCTGCCAACCCGGAGAGATGGATTAAGCGTGTTGGTCCTTACAACTGAGAGACAAAGAGGCACTGCATTCCTTAAGCAATCTTTCCAGAACCTCTTCCCAGTCATTCTTAGAAAGTTTAACCATATCTCCATGCCTGATTATCTCATGAGAAGAGGCCACTGCAAACCTCCCAGGGGACCCTCCATGTATCTGTCCTGGACTCAGGAACTCAATGGGAGAGGAAGAAAGTGGTGAGACTGTGGCTTATGCGGATGCCAGTGAGTTTGACGGAAAGGAATCACCAGGCAGCTTTGTAGGTTTCAGAAAAATATTCTGCCCTGAAGAGAAGACCACATTCCCACCCAAAGTCCATAGCCACCATTTCCACATTTCCCAGTTCCCAGGACAAAGGTGGCAGGTGAAGCTTGATAGAGGGGGTGACTTGAGATGACATCTCAGGGGGACAGATACGCCAGGGCAGGGTGAGCAATTCAAGAGCCATCAGGGAGGAGAGGAGCAGTATCATGGGGAGCTGTCTTTGTTAGGTGGGCAGGATTAGGAAAGGGCCACTGTCCCCAAACCCTCCTTCCCAGAAACACAGGGAGGTCAGGGCTCTGGAGAAGTGCACAGGGCGAGGCTTTCCGGGTGCATTCCCAGTCCCCCCTTGTCCTCCAGGAGAGCTCCCCAGCTCCTTACCCTTGTGGTCATTTCTTGGGATATTTTGGGCCAGGCAGCCAGGTATCACTTTGGACATTGTCCCTCTCCCATCTGGCCACCTTTAGGGGACACTGACGCCCTGGCATGGTGAGCTCTGGAAAAAAGGGGACTGTGCTGCCTGATGAATGGAAGGAGGCATGGATCTGAGGAGGCCCCCAGTGAGTCTGATCCACTTTCCCAGGGCATGAGGGGACCCACAGACATTCCAATATCTGGCTTAGGAGCCTGGCTGGGAGGTAGGACCCAGCCCTGTGCATTACCTGTGAGTGCAGGTTTATGGAGGGCTGGTTGGGGGAGTATGGCCCCCCGAGGTCATTCCTGAGCAGGTTATCGCTGTGCATCTTGGTTTTGAGGCAGGTGATGTAACGGTTACAAAAGTCCTTGCAGAGTTCATTGACTTTCTCCAACTCCAGCAGGTGGATTCTCAGGACCTGGATTGCCTTCACCATCTGGGGAAAGGGAGGAGAGGGGAGCTGGGTGTTGGTATCACATCCCCCTTGCTGCCTTAACTGCAAACCTAAGCGCACCAGGGGAGAGCATCCGTCCCCTGCCCTGGGAGATGCTGTCTCAGGCATGTGATTGAAATTCTCATCTGGCTGCCTGCTGATGGCTCACCTGCTCTGGGCCCACTGTTGCCAGCGCTGTTCTGGAGGCTGCGGTGGGGTTCTGAGTACAGTGTCAGCCTTAGAGCTGGGAGGCCAGGTCTCCAGCCCTGGGCCTGCCATTTATGATCTATGCAAGCTTGGGAAGTTGCTTAAGCTTTCTGCATCTCATTGTCTGACAAATGGGGAAATTACGCCCTTCCTGACAACTGCACAGGGTTTTTGAGAGGATCGCAGGCAAGCTGGGAAGTGTGAAGCACTGAGCAGGCATGAGGAAGACTGAGAGCAGAGTTTCTGGACATCACCCCCAGAGGCCAGGTCTGGCTATTCCTAAACACACGTTCTGAGTGCCCCGTCTAACCCAGGTCACCTGGCAGATGCCCCATTGACACTTGCTGACTGTCTGAATCAGCCAGCGCAACTTAGCTGGGTGCTGGAACACCCGTCTGTGGTGGCCTTGCCTGTGCCCTTTGGACTGTCATATGGTGACAGTCATCTCTTCAAATGAACATTCCTAAGTTTTTCATGGCAAGAAGTTATGTCTCAGTTGAAGCTCTTCTCTTTATCACTGTTATTATTATTAAAAGAAAGTGCTGCAGGAGGCATAGAAAACAGGATGAAAAAAACTGCCCTTGATCCAATCACCCTAAAAAAACAAAGATTTTTTTATGCCTTTTCTACATGCATATATATTAGCATAGTTTAAAGCACCTTGTGCATACGACTTTGTTTTCTGTTTTTTTCCCTTACTTTACCAAATGTGTTTTTCTAAGTGGTAGAATTGTTTTCTCTATTCTCATTCCTAGATGGGGGGGATGCTGTCTGATTTGCTCACCATGTTATCCTTTGCACCGAGACATATGTTTACCAAGTAACTATTCATTAATAGTTGTTAATAGTCTCAAAAACTATTTGGAAATGGGTGAAAATTACTGAGTGAATTTATTTTTAATTGCTGCATAATAGTCCATGCATATGCCATATGTAACCAGCCTAGGCATTGAGACTGCTTCCAGTTTTTCACTTTTATAAAAAATATTAGAGTGACTCTTTTCCAAGCTTACAACTCTTATTTATGTTTCTGCATAATTTCCTAAGGGAAAACTCTCAGAAGTGTCAGGGAGAAACTGTGGACATTCTTTTGGCCCATGATAAATATTGCCAAATCGCTGTTCAAAAAAGGGTTGTTCAAATGGTGCTGGAGCAACTGGATGACCACAGGCTAAAAAAAAAAAGAATAAAGAACCTTGATTTAAATCTCACATCTTATAAAAAACGATTAACTTAAATAGATCAAAGAACTAAATGTATGACATAAAACTATAAAACTTTTAGGGAAAAAAAACCCAAACAGGAGAAAATCATCAGGATTCCTAGGGTTAAGCAAAGAGGACTTGACATCAAACACATGATACAGAAAAGGAAAAATTGGTGAACTGGACCTCATCAAATTAAAGAGGCTGGAGCTTCAGAAACCCTGAGAAGAGGAAGAAAAGACAAACTAGACTGGGAGAAAACATTCACAAACCACACATCTGACAAAGGACTTTCATCTAGAATATATAAAAAGTTCTCAAAATGAAACAATAATATAATAAGCAATACAATCAGAACATGGGCAAAAAGCAGCAGGTATCTCACTGAGAGAATATACAGATGGCAAATAAGCACATGAAGAAATGTGTAGTGTCACTGGCCATCAGGGAAATTAAAAATTAAAACCAATGAGACATCATCACACACCTATCAGAATGGTTAAAATAAAAAATAGTGATAACATCAAACGATGGTGAAGAATTGGACCCTGGTCAGTCATACACTGCTGGTGGGTATGAAAAATGGTACAGCTACTCTGGAAAGCAGTAGGCAGGCACACCTCATTTGAATGTGCTTTGGCTTATCGCACTTTGTGTACACTGCCTTTCTTACCCATTGAAGGTCTGCGGCAACCCTGTGCTGAGCAAGTCCATCGATGTCATTTTTCCAGCATTTGCTCACTTGTCTCTGTATCACATTTTGGGAATTCTCACAATATTTCAAACTTTTTCCTTATTGTTATATTTGTTACAGTGATCTGTGATCAGTGATCTTCTATGTTACTATTGTAATTGTTTTGGGGTGCCATGAACTGTGCCCGTGTAAGACAGCAAACTTAATGGACAAATGCTCTGTGTGTTCTGACTGCATCACCGACTGACCTCCCCTGTCTCTCGCCCTCACCACAGGCCTCACTGTTCCCTGGACACAGCAATATCGAACTGGCCTCTCATGTTCAAGTGAAAGGAATAGTCACATGTCTTCCACGTTAAGTCAAAAGCTAGAAATGATTAAGCTTAGTGAGGAAGGCACATCAAAAGCTGAGACAGGCCACAAGCTAGGCCTCTTGCCTAGTCAGCCGAATTGCAAATGGAAAGGAAAAGTTCTGGAAGGAAATGGAAAGTGTTACTCTAGTGAACCCAGGTATCATAGAGCAAAACAATCAGCAAAATGAAAGCGAAATAATAAGCAATTCAACCAGAACATGGGCAAAATAGAGAAGGTGTGAGTGGTCTGGACAGAAGATCAAACCAGCTATAACATTCCCTTACACCAAAGTCTAATTCAAAGCTGGCCCTAATTCTCTTCAGTTCTCTGAAGGCTGAGAGAGGTGAGGAAGCTCCAGGAGAAAAGTTTAGAAGCTAGCAGATGTCGGTTCATGAAGTTTAAGAAACAAGCCGTTTTGATGGCAGTGCCAGGCGAAGCAGCGAGTGCTGACGTAGAAGCTGCAGAAAGTTACCTAGAAGATCAAGCTGAGCTCATTACTGAAGGTGGCTACACTAAACACCGGATTTTCAATGTAGATGAAATAGCCTTCTATTGGAAGAAGATGCCATCTAGGACTTTCATTGCTAGAGAGGGGAAGTCAGTGCCTCGCTTCAAAGCTTCAAAGGACAGGCTGACTTTCTTGTTAGGTATTGATGCAGCTGGGGATTTCAAGTTGTAGCCAATGCTCACTGAGCGCTCTGAAAATCCTAGGCCCCTTACGAAGTATACTAAATCTACTCTGCCCGTCCTCTGTAAAGGGAACAACAAAGCCTGGATGATAGCATGTCTGTTTACAACATGATTTACTGAATGTTATAAGCCCGCTATTGAGAAGTACTACTCAGAAAAAGATTCCTTTCAAAATATGACTACTCGTTGACGATGCCCTAGTCACCCAAGAGCTGATGCAGATGGACAAGGCTAATGTTTTCGTATGTGCTAACACACACGCATTCTGCAGCCCAATGGGTCAAGGAGTCATTTCAACTTTCAAGTCTTATTATTTAAAAAACACATTTCATAAAGCTATAGCTGCCATAGATAGCAATCCCTCTGATGCATCTGGACACAGGAAATTGAAAACCTTCTGGAAAGGAGACACCATTCTAGGTGTCATTATGAACATTTATGATTCATGGGAAGAGGTCGAGATATCAATGTTAACAGGAATTTGAAAGCAGTTGATTCTAATCTCATGGATGACTTTGAGGGGCTCAAGACTTGAGTAGAGAAAGTGACTGCAGATGTGGTGGAAATATTAAGAGAACTAGAATTAGAACTGGAGCCTGAGGATGTGATTGAACTGCTGCAATCTCATGATGAAACTTGAATGGATGAGGAGCTGCTTCTTATGGGTGAGCAAGGCAAGTGGTTTCTTGAGAAAGAATCTACTCCTGGTGAAGATGCTGTGAGGACTGCTGCAATGACAACAAAGGATTTCGAATATTACACAAACTTAGTTGATAAAGCAGTGGCAGGGTTTGAGAGGATTGACACCCTACTGTGGGTAAAATGCTATCAGAGAAATGCTACAGAGAAATCATTTGTGAAAGGAAGTTGATTGATGCAGCAACTTCACTGCTGTCTTATAATTAGAAATGGCCAAGTCACCCCCGCCTTCAGCCACCACCACCCTGATCAGTTAGCAGCCATCAGCATCAAGGCCAGACCTACCATCAGCAAAAAGATATCTGGAAGATATCTGAGCTGAAAGCTCAGATGATAGCATTTTTTAACAATAACATATTTTTTAAAATTTAGGTATGTATGTTGTCTTTTTAGACATAATGCCATTTCACACTTAATAGACTACAGTGTATGTAAATATAACTTTGATATGCACTGGGAAAACCAAAAAGAAATTCCTTGCCTCACTTTATTTCGATATTTGCTTTACGGTGGTGGTCTGAAACTGAACCAGCAATCTCTCTGAGGTGTGCCTGTAACAGCTTTTCACCCAACTAAATATATTACAATATGACCCAGCAATTTCACTCTTGGGCATTTACCCCAGAGAAATAAAAACGTATGTTCAAAAACCTGTATGTGAAAGTTCAAAGCTGCCTTATTTCAAATATCCAAAAACTAGAAACAACCAAAATACACTTCAGCAGGGGAATGGATAAAGAAACTGTAGCACAGCTCTATTACGGACTGGTACTCGGTAACAAAAAGGAACAAATTACTGATACATACAACAATACGGATGGATTTCAAAGGAATTATGCTGAGAAAGAAATACCGATCTCAAAAGGTTACATACTGATGCCATTTATATAACATTCCTGAAATGATAAAATTCAAGACATGGAGAACAGGTTTGTAGTTACCACGGGGTGTGCTGGGGCAAGGAGGGAGGAACTGTTTTTTATTTTGGCTATCATAGTATTTACATGAATCTACAGATGTGATAAAATGGTACAGAACACACACACACACACACACACATACGCATGAAAGCATGTAAAACTGGCAGAATCTGATTAAGGCTGATGGATTATATCATTGTCAATTTCCTGGTTGGGAAATTATAGTTACACAAG